TTCTGATCCAGTATGCATAAAACCAAGAAGAATGCCTAAATGGGATTTATCACCTTGTTTTTACAGGACGATCAAAATAAATTATTCCAACCAGATAACTGTTTTCTGTCCTTCTTCCCCCCGATCCTCACCGCCTCTGTTAAAGGGGTGGATTCAACATTTTGGAATACATTTGAGAACAATCACTTGTCTGTAAACAGGAAGTGACAGCTGGTTAACTTAGCACCGAGACAGAAAAGCGGGGAAGTGGCTCGGTCTGTCCGACAGCCAGGCGTCTCGTGGAGCGGCGTTAGGGCCTCGTATCCAAATTAAGCCACAATTCCGGAAATGTAAGCTGTATCTGGGCAGTTGATTACCAAAGGGTTGGGCAGGGGATAAAACCCGTTGAGTAATCCCGCTTCATGAGGCAGTTCCCAAGTCCTGTTTCTTTATTTCCATTGTTGTTGCCGATTTGTGTCGTTGAAGCTTGACCTCACTTCCATATCACAGCACAGTTGCTCACGCTTAGTTCCGATATAAAGGAAAGTTCATTTTTCGCTTTGGGTATTTATGGAGCTCTGAAGTGTTTGATACTCAGACCGCATGGACGACTTTACAAACTTCAATCAACATCTACATTTCCATGACAACTAGGCAAACTATCTTGGTCAAGATGAAATAACGTGTACAATAACGTGGAATAAATAGACCGTGGGATGTTTTGTGAACTGGTGCTATTAAATTGGAGGCACATTTGAGGGCTGATGCAACCAGGGAGGTTAATGGTTGGCACTTAAAACCCTCAGGCCATCCCGGAAAGCCCTCGTCTTGCATACAGAGGTTAAACTGGAAAATTAGTGATATTTGAGAAGAGCGCAGAGGTCCTTTAACTTCCACTTGTTAATGAGCCATGCCGGACTTAAACAGGCCGATTTGTATCAGATAATCAGGTCATTACACTCAACAATTCCACTGTAGCCGACGTGTTCTCGGTAAAACCCCAGATGAACACACAGCAAGTCTCAGAAGTACAGATAACAGCAAAAAAAAACTAGGTAGGATGTAAATAGTTGGATGGATGTCAGATTGCATCATGTTATGAATTCAGTAAATGATTAACCATCCAAAGTTTCCTTGTCAAGTGTCATTTTCATTTTATTGAAGTGAATTCAGATCGAGTACATACATGAGCAGGAAAGAACACTAACGAGACAAAATATATAAACTGAAAAAGGCAACAGGTTTCAAGAACAAAAAAAATCTTAAACTTAGGCGTATTTACTATAAACCGTATTAAAATGAGATAAGGTCAGTGAAATGTGTATTACAAGGCCTATCAACAAATAACTGCTTGTGTTAAATGGAGTGATAGGTCTGGAGCAGCCAAAAGAAGTTTTACCACAGGCAGCGTGGACATCTCCACACTTTAAACACAATGTGACGTCACATGGAGGAGCGCATTCCTTTCTCCAAGTACTCCTCTCTAAACTGGTTTGACTTCAGTTTCTCTTAGTGTGCGTCCTCGTAACAGACAGACCGTGGCACGAATCACAGACAGGAGCGCCTAGGCTCCTTCATACGTCATGAATTGGCAAAAAACCATATTGCTGTGGCTTTAAATGTTTTCTATACTTGCTAAATGTTAGTTTTAATTTTACAAAAAAATAAAATAAAAAAAAGGACGCTGCATAGCGGCTCATGGTGTGTCAGTGTAACCGGAACGTGTATGCACAATAATGATATTTCCCCATCGTCTGAAAGATGAAGGACGGGAGCTAATCAAAGGTAAAGATGTAACTTATTGTGATCTATATGTTTTATATACACAGTACTTTAACTTAACTCTGTGTCAAGTGTGATCTTGTGTGCTCGGTACCTCTGGACTTCACAACCCATCTCTACCATCTCTTTATGACTAAACCGAGTACAGTATAACAGTCTACTGTACCTAAGTGTCACCAGCCCCTCAGATATGCCCACTGACTTCCTGTCACACAGTTAGAAATCAGTACTTTATCCACAATCATGTTAAAAACTTAAAGATTTGTATTTTAACTTGTAGGAAGGATACATTACAATGTCTTGTAAGCAGTGACAGAATTGATGAATCTTGTTTTTTCGTGACCCCCAACGAAAGTCTCTGCAGCTGTGAGGTTGGGGAGGGCGGGGGGGTTTAGCGCAACCAATCAGGCCAGCCACCTGTCAGTCAAGCTCGGGGCAGGTCGTGCTCGTGGCCTTCAGAGCAGGGCTGCTGCATCTGCACCACCACAGTCTCCACGGTGACCTCTTCC